CCGCCACACGGAGGGAGGGGGCGCGGGCGAAGGAGTATTTGGGGAGGACTTCAACTCCCATCATTCCTCACCCTGGGCAATCCTGGCGAGGGTTATTGGGAGATGTAGTCCGTCAGTAGTCCTGGAAGGCTGCCACCCGGCGGGGGGGGGGAGAGGAGGGCTTGAGGACATCATCCCAGCCGTTGCCAAGAGAAAGCCCTCGCCTTTGGACCCCGCCATCCCGGCATGATGGGATTTGTAATCCATTCCTTCCCCCCCAAAAAAGGGAGCTCAAGCGCGTGCTGATTGGGAACGATGGGAGTTATTCCCAATTTATCTGAGGATTTGATAACCATAAAAAGGCTTTTTGGCCCCTTGGGGGCAAAAAAAAAAAAGGAGCGCCTTTTATGATCGGTTCAGCTTTTGGGAACATTCCTCAAATTCTTCTGTCTTGCAAAGAATCAAGAGGCTGAGGAGGAAAACCTTCCACAGGGCCGGGTGGCCACCCCAACCTAGGTGGGGATTCTGGGACTTCTTGTCCCTACTGGTGGGCAGGGCCAAGGCGACCTTTAGCTGAAAATCCTCTTAAGTCAGGCTTCCCAAAACGTGCCGGTCTTTACTTGAGGGCAGGAAGACTGGGGGGGGGGCAGCTGGGCCTCCTGATTCCTTCCTGAACCCCCTCCCTTTCTTTCTCTCCTCCCCCCCCCAAGCCATCTACAGCCCTCTACAAAAAGGTCCCTGTCATTCCGAGATAGACTGGCTCTTGACATGGAGGATCGTGGCGTTTGGGGACTAGAGCCACGGCTGTGGTCCGTTGGCAGCGAAGCCTGCCCAGGCGGTGGTTGTGGCTTCGGGCAGAGGAGCAGGTTCCCTCCTTGCTCCCATCTGCCAAAGCTCAGCCCAATAAAGCTGGTCTGGCTTCCAGACCCAACAAGGTTCTTGGACGAAGGACTCAGGCCGTCCGGCTGTCCGGCTGGTGGAGAGATGGAACATAGATCGAGTGGCCCAAGCCGTGAGAGAGCGGGTCTCCGCAGTTGGTGGTGCTGGTGGGGGAGAGGCTTCAGACGCCCGAAAGTAGTAACGTTTCCATCCTTCCATGTTTACCTGTGCCTTGGCATCCTGCGTCAGCCTCCAGGCTGGTTCCCTTGCTGGATAGGGAGAGCTGCAGGAGGGGCAGGATCCCACCCAGCCCCCCAGACCGGGTTGTGGTCCCTTCTGTCAGCAGGTGCCTGTGGCTGGATTCATCCTATGTAAAAATGGGAGAAGAGAACGGGAAGCCCCCCAGAAGGTGCTGAAGGGCGGCTCCCGTTCGGCTTCACTCCCAGCCAAGCCGGCAGGAGCCAAGGAGGACCCGATCCTGAACTTTCCACATGCTGCGCAGCGGCTCCACACCGGATCCGCAGCTTTTCTCCCCAGAGTTTCCCCCGTTGAATATCCACCTGCAAAGGCACAACAGCACAAACATTCTCTCTACTGTAGGATGGATATTCATCCCCCCACCAAGAAACTCACTTCCATCTCTCAAAATAACAATAAAAAAGTGGGCCCTGCAGCTCCCACCGTACGTTGGGCTGGATGGCCAATAACTACCGGGCTGCGATCCTCTGAGTGTTGTAGTTTTTTTAAAAGTAACTTTCCCCATGTCTGCTGGCCCAGCCATGTGTGCGGTTCAGTCTGGCAGTGGAAGGCAGCATTTAAATCCAACTCTCTGTCAGTCCAGGGCTGAGCAAGCCTGGGGTTTCACACAGAGTTCTTTCCACAGCAGACGTGCCTCTCTCCCCTGCTGTGTGACCACAACTGAATGGAAGTCGACCCAGCGACAGGATAGAGAGCACATTGCTTGTCTTTGCATCCAGAGATTCTAATGGTATGTAGAAAACGTTCTGTATTTATTGAAAAAACAAACAAACAAACAGAAAGCCATTAAAAAGCACAAAAAGGAACAGCCAAGAACAGCAGAAGCTGCAAGTGTGCCCATATATACATTGAAGGGATCACGTAGAGGAACTTCGATACAATATATATACATTGAAGGGATCACGTAGAGGAAAAGTAAACAAGGAGGGGCAGAAAGCAGAGCACGGAAAACGTCGTTTTTCTGCAGGACAACAGCCCAAATCTTCCAGCCGGTCTGGCCACTGCGGTGGGGTTTCTGGGTGCTGCGGATCAAACCACCGTCATAGCTCCCCCATCTCATCAAGGACCTCTTTCAGACAAGATGATTTGGAGTGCCCTTGTTCAGGCTTCCGAGATTATCCTATTCCTCGCTGCCTCCACCCCGCCCCAAATCCTTCCTCGATTTCAACACCATCTTTTCTCACCATGGAAAACCCATGAAAAGAGAAAAAGACGGGGGCCTCGATCCAAGCGCTGGTCCCCACCAGAGCAGACCCACCAAATCGGTGGCAGAAGGGTTGAAGCCAATGCCTGTATAAACCCTGTGGGTTCAGTGGCTCTCCTCTACTGCGGACGGGAGAGTCAGGCTTGCTTGCGTTTTTATTCATTCGTTTGTTGCTCGGACTTTGAAACCACGCATCTGACCCGTGGCCACTCCGGGTGGAGAACAGCACCAACTGTATAAATGTATTAATCCACAAACCACAATTAAAATTAATCTAAAAACGACCCGAGCCATTTGATCCGACAGAGACCTGATGCCGCGGAGTGGGAGGCCAGCCTCGCCTGCCCTCCGGACGGCAAGATTGGCGGGGCAAGATCGGCCTACGCCCGGCCCGGACCCATAAAGGGCCTTAAAGGGACGCCCGACGTCACCTCTCAGACCTGGCATGGGATCTGACTGGCAGCCGTCAGAGGTTCCTCCGTCCAGGAGTTCTTCCGGGCATGTATTGAGAGGCTCTTGGACTACATATCCCATAATCCCCCAGCCAGCTTGCTGGGGTGTTGTGGGAGTTGTAGTTCACAGTGTCATTTTTGCCCGGCTTTTTCTCTCCTCTTGGAGAAATGTTATCTGCCCAGATGTCTCCTCCATTGAGGAACATAATACTTGATCCTCGCGCTGACTTCAGGGGCCCTCCGTACCTTTGCAAAACTGCGGCCGGCCTCGTGATCCCTTTCTGACAAGGAAAAGAGGAGTTCGTTCCCCCTCCCCAGCCGTTTCCCCCACACACACACACACACATACACACACACACACACATCCCATGGGTAAGGACCCGCCATGGCGAAGGGAATGGTTTCTTAGCAACGTCAAAACATACACGCAGGAGTCCGATTCTGCAACGGATGTCGGGATTCCCCGGGAAGTTTGTCTGTGACTTAAAATTTGAGGTTTTCTCTTCCACAGAAACCGCCACGGCCGTAAGGCATCTCCAGTTGCAGCCCAGAAGGGAAACCGCCCTGCCTTGGTGCCAGCGCTGGAAAGGTAAAAAAATAAGTACATAAATAAATACCACAGCTTCCGCGTTTCTGTGCTACAAAGCTGGCCTTTTTAAAAAAAAAAGCCGGGAAGGCGTGGGAGAGCTTAGTAAAGTAATAGGAGCTGGGAATATTACGAGATAATTATAAGGGCCTTTCTCTCCTCCTGCCACCAATGTGGGTAGTTGAGTTCAGTTGAGTTAAAACAATATAGTGATGAGGAGTCGCTCGGCCCGAGATCCTGGACCAGGGGTTGCCTGTCTGTGCTGGTGTGTGTGTGGGGTGTGTGTGTGTGTGGGTGGGTGGGTGGATGGATGGATGGATGCTGGAGAGCCGCAGAGTGATCGTTTGACCAGGTGAGACCCCAAGTGACCCCGACTGAGCTCCGAAACCATGCCCTCCCTTCTCCCCTCTTCTTTTCCCCCCGTGCAGAGTGCAAAGGATGGCTGACGAGCCGGAAAAGACCGAGGAAGGTGTGGAGAAAAGCTCCTCGGAGCCTTTGGTGCCGGAACTGGAACTCGCCCCCCCGCCCGTGGCGGTCAGGGCGCTGTCTCCAGAGGTGGACGCCCGGTGGAAGGCCGTTTTCTACGAGAGCCTGCAGCCCAGGGCTCTGATCCTGCAGGAGGCGAGGGTGGCCAAGCGCCACCGGGAGAAGATGCTGGAGCGCAAGCAGGCGAAGGCCGAGCCGCCCGACCCGCTCTCCCAGGACTGGTTGGAGGGGAGGGCGCTGGGCCTGGAGACCCGGGCCTACCTGCTGGACAAGCTCCTGCCCACCTTGGTCCCTGGGGTGGAGAAGCTGCTCCGGGTGGCGGAGCGGAAGAAGGCCCTCCCGACGGACGGCGGCCCGGGAGCCGGCCGCCTGGACCCCCTGAACTTCTTGGGGGAGTTCCTGATGAGGCAGAACCCCTCCTACCAGCTGGCCGCCCAGCCGAACCCCTACGTGCGAGGGATGCAGGCGGTCACCGAGGAGCTGAAGACCCAGGTGCCAGAGACCACGCCGCACAGGTGGGTGGGGAAGGGTCGTCCGGGCGGGGTTGGCTCCTCTCCTACGGGATGATGGCCTGCAGGAGCCTCCTGCCCCCCCTGCCCTCCTGTGCGTGCTGGTCCTGCACCCCCAAAGGCTCACGGGCTGCCTTCGCCCACCGAAGGGGGGGCCCCTCCTGGCTGGGGGAATCTGGGACCTCAAGTCCAAATCAGAAGATCTTTCCCAAGGATCGCTGAACCCCAAGGAGTGGGAGGTGTGGGGGCCGTGGGGGGGTGTATCTCCCACTCACCTAAGCGAGGCCGCCTCTGCTCCCTGCAGGCTGGCCGAGGTGAAGGCTCTGGTGGAGGAGAAACGGCAGCAGCGCGAGCAAGTGGAGAAGATCAAGAGCCGCGTGGAGGAGCTCCGGAAGCAGACGCTGGCCTTGCAGTTCAAGGAGTGGACGCGGGACACCTCCGGGCAGATCCCGCTGGCGCTGGTAATGTGGGAGGACCGGGGAGTCCCCAGGGCTCCCTCCCGCCACCTCCTTGGTCATCCGGGGAAGCTTGCCCTGGAGATTCCCCCACCAGGCCCTCTCCTGCCCCCTTCGGAGTTTGGCTCAGAGAAAAAGAGGTCCCGTGACCGGCATCTCTTTTTCAAGGGGCTGCTGGGAGAGGCAGGACTCCGGGGGGATCTGGGTTCAAGTCCTCCGTGAGCCATGAAACGTGCGGGGCCCCTTAGAGCCAATCCCACGTGCTTTCCCTCCCCGTCTTGGCCCGGCCTACCTCATAGGGGTGTGATGAGGGTCAGGGGAGAAGGAAGGGAGCCGTGCCCCGCTGCCCTGTGCGGTGCAGAGGACAGGCGGGAACCCAAAGTGACCTCACCTACCAGCCAACCCACCAGTGCACCACCACCCTCAGCGCCCCCGCTCCCAGGGCGCTCTCCACAGGCAGCCCCTCTGGGGTTTCGGACTCGGGAGAGCTGCTCAGCCTCCCCTACCTCGTAGGGATGTTGTGAGGGGGAAAGGAAAGGGGGGGGACCATACAGGCCACCGTGAGCTCCCTGGAAGAAAAGTTGGGGAAGAAAGGAAGGAAAGGTCAGTCGCGGAGCTTGGACATTTTGTTTGACCTTCGTTTTCTTGGACTACAGCTCCCAGAATCCCCATAGGCCATGCTGGCTGGGGGAGAAAAGAAGAAGGGACCTTGTTCAAGCTCTGTTTAATCCCCATCCTTGGCGAACGTTCAAGAAACTTTCAAGGAGAATGGGCACCGTTGGTCCTGAGGTCCTCTCCCGACCATAATTGAGCCCTCATAGCCTGGGCTCTTCGAGAAAGAGTGGGGTTCGAGAGGACCATTTCTGGAACGAGCGTTCCCTGCCAAATTGGGGGAGGGGGAAGGGTGCAAATATTTATTTATTTATTTATTTAACTTATATGCTGCCCGCTCTACCCAAAGGTCTCTGGCCGGTTTACAACAATTAAAATTCAATTAAAATACAATAAAAGATAAAATGATTAAAAATATGCTGGAGGCCCCCCAACTTTGCAAACGTGTTCAGAAGCCGCGGCAACAGAGCGCCGTGTTTATTTATTTATTTATTTATTTATTTGATTTATACCCCGCCTATCTGGACTATTCATCCACTCTGTGACTCGCTTCTGCAGAAACGTGCATTATTTCCAGTTTTGCACATGTTGTTTTCAACGTCCTGTTATTCTGTCTTCCTGTATGCAGAACTTGAGCCTCACGACGCAGCGCTATGCATGTTTAACTGGAAGGAAATCCTCTGTGTTCAGTTGAGACACTGAGGTTTGCCTCCCTTTGTATACAGAACTGCGGCTGCGTACATTTTTTGCCGTTTTCTTTTTTGCTGATGCTCTGCCCGGTGTGTACATGTTGCAGAAAAGCACCACAATGGGGGGTTCATGGCCCCAAACGAATAGGGCCTCTAAAACAAAATAAAAATGGCAGAAGGGTTGCTGTGGTGGCAAAGTTTCTGCTTAACCCCAGCCCTTCGTAGTGGACCAGGCGTTCTCGCCCCTCCCTCCCTCCCTCCCTCCCTGAGTCAAATGCCTGGTTTTTCCAACCTGCCCAGTCTCGTCCCTTACGAATCCCTGTTAGGACTTGTCCACCCATATCATTCCTTCCCATTGAAAGAAGAAATGCTACAGATGGATCATTTAATAAAAAGAAAGAAAAAGAAGAAGCAAATTAGAAAGATGAGCTGAAAAGACGCCAGTAATCCTGGCTCGGAAAGGTTGCATTGAATCCAGTAAGTCTGCGGAGCTTCCGTAGGCCTGTGGTTACAAGTGGGTTCCGTGGACCAGCCTTTGACATGGGGCGCTGTCGTTTCCAGATCCAAAGTGCTCTGAGGTCCTTTCTGGAGGTCGTCCCTTCGGCAGCCACAGACTCCGAGAAAGGTACGTCCAGGCCCTTCTCCCCGGCCATGGTGGGCTGTGAATTCTAAAAAAAGGGCAGGAAGATCTGGAGAGGTTTCGAGCTCAGTCGGTAGAGTCTCTGCATACAATAATCACATAATTAGTGGCAGACTTCTGCAAAAAACCAAACACATTTGAGCATCCTCCCGTGGGCTTTTCTCAACGCCACCACATGTGGCAAATGAGCTTGTCTTTGCTTTGTGACTGGGAGGCATGCACAGGCTCTGTTTGCAAGCCTGGGGGGGCCCTGGAGCTTTGAAGAATGATGTTTCTGGAGGGACAACATGCAGCCACCTCCCCAAGACCTGTTAACTGCGTTGTTGAGCTCGATTCACAACCAGGAAAACCTCGCTTCATTTGGAGGCAGGCCTTGGAATCGTTCAGCCAAGCTAGCAGAGCAAGGAGAGATGGGGAGACTGTGGCAAAGTTCCTTTTCCAGACCACCATCGCCACAACGCCTGTGTGGCCCACAAAAGGGACTTTCCTGAGGACTAGAGTCAGGAGACGGAGGAGCCCGAGACATTTTGCTGTTCGAAGCAACAGGAAGGACTGTGCCTTCACCCCATTCTGTGGACAGAAGACAACAGGAATGGACATTGAATCCTCATTTAAGGCGTGCAAGAGAGTTTAGGGGCACCTAACACACATGCATGTGTACACACACACAGAGTGCATTGTGGTGCTAACAATACCCACACACACACATACACACACACAGAGTGCATTGTGGTGCTAGCAATTCACCCGTGTCTTTTTTGCCTCCCTAGGAATCTACGCCAGGCCTCTGGAAACCGTCACGACGCTGGAGGTGAAGGTGAACGAAGAGGAGTTTGTGGAGGTAAGCAGCGAGGTCCCTCGGGGCAAAGGGTCCGCTCCTTCTTGCCATGGCGAGGAATCTTGTAGGACTCAGGCCGTCCTCGTGGACCCATACATACAGCTCTCGGAGAAGTGACTTTCTGGGCAGGTCATTCCCAGAATCTCATGGCCGGCCCATCGGCCAGAGCTCAGCAAGGGGCCTCTCAGCCCTTCAGTAGCGGAACCCTCCTTGCCTCCAGTTCCTCCCTTTATCCCCCACTCCTTAAGGGGGATCCCTGGGGTGATCTGACCCTCTCGACCTTCCAAGCTTGTGTGCTGCCTGACGACAACCATCATTCCCTCTTCACAAGCCAACTCACTCGGCAGTCAGACCCTCAAACCCAAGAGTAGCAGGGCGGGCGGGCAGGCGGGTGGCCTTTGCCCGCTGAGAGGCACTTCCGGACGATGGGCTTCCAGGCCAGGCTGGGGCGGCTTTCCTCCGCTCCCGTCAGAGGTCACCCACCCTGGCGCTGTTCTGCCAAAGCCGCCAAGATGAAACCCCTAAACCCAAAGCGACGCCCTGCTTCCGGCCAGACCAGATTGGCAGAGGAGAGTTCAATGAGCAGCCGCCTCACCGGGAGAGAGAGAGAGACAGGCTGCGGATGAATCCAGATTTCCCGCCAGCAGCCAGCCTGCTCTCCAGACGGCCCGGCTGGTATCGATGCCGTCGGTTTCACGCAAGAAGCGCTCTTCTCTCCCCGGAGCATCTGGGACCGCTGTCAAAATTCTGGGAGCCAGTTCACGCGGGAGGTTCGGAGGCTAAAGAATCCACGCTTGAAACATGGACGTCTTGTAGGACGACAGCGCCTCTTGCGTGCTGGGGATTCTGGGCGTTGTAGTCCCGGAACAAACCTTTTGAAGCCCTGCCAGGGTTTCTGCTCTCCCCTTGCCATCACCGGGAGCAGTTCTCTCTCTCTGTGTGTGTCCTCCCCTTCGCTGGACAGTATTTTGTTTTCCCTCCCGTAGGCAGCCACGGCAGGCTAAAGGATCCTGCCATCATAATTCAGCCTAAAAACCAGGCTTGAAATTCTTCTTGACAGCTGTGATTATTTACCCGGCGCCAATTGCAATATTAGAACAGCCTTCCTTTTTTTTTTTTTTTTTTTTTTTTTTTTTTTTCCTTTTTACCCATTAAAAACACACACCAGGGACCCACGAACTCCTTACAGGGCGATAAATCTGAAGCATTAAACATGCCTCCAAGGCCCTGTCTCCCAATAAATCAGAATTCAGCTGCGCTTGACAGGGGACTGAAACAAAAAACAACAACACAAAAACAACAAGGCCAGCCTTCCAGAGTCAGATTTTGCCTTCCTTTTCATTTTTATGTATGTCTCCTATTTTTTAAACTGCCACCCTGTTCCTTGCAAAAGGGCAGAGCTTGAAAACTCACTTTTTTCGGACTATAAGTCCAAGGAGTCACAGCCTCTTCTCCCCACCCACCCAAGATGTATGGGTGAGGATGATGCCAAAGGTTGACACTCATGGGGTGTTTCCCCAGTTTTGACGGGTCTTCCACTGGCCACCAGCAAGCAACCAGACCATGCCTGGATGGACAGGGGTGTTTCTCTCCCCAGTTTTGACGGCTCTTCCACTGGCCACCAGCAAGCAACCAGACCATGCCTGGCGAATTAGGAGGGTTGTAGTCCGAAACGGTGTCATTTCCAGAGTCTGGATAGTACCCTGACTTTTAAAAATAACTCCATCTGAATGGATGGTTCTCCCCACCCACCCACTTTGCTGTCACCAATTTGGGACCCATTGGCCACGCGTTTGTTTGCCCACGGGTTCGGGGAACAGGCGAGAGAGCGACGTTTTCCTTGAACGCTCACCCTCTGGCTGCCGGATTTGCTCTGTTCAGGTTCTATGTGGGTGGTTTCCCCCTTCCAGGCTTTAACCGTCTTGGTACCCTGTGTTGTATTTTATGGAGGGGGTCAGTGGCTTTTACGTAGGAAGGGAAGGACATGCATGCGTATAACACAATCTTAGGGAAGTACAGCGGGAAAGGCAGGAGAGGGACCCGATCCAGCTTTCTGAGTAGAAGACCGGCTCCGTTAGGTCTGGCTTCCAGCGGAGAAAGGAGTGCAGTCCTCAGGCAAGCAGGAAAGAGGAAAAAGAGGGTGAAAAAATATATAGATAAGGCACAGTTGTTTTGTGCATTGTGTGACAACGTCTGGGCTGTCACCAAAGTGTGAAAATGCCTCCCTTCCCACAAATGGAGGTGGCCGTTGGTGGACCTAGCACTTGGTCCTAGCACCACCGTGCCAGATCAACGCCCTCGTGAGAAACACCATCGTGGCTTCCCTTGTCTTCCGCCATACCCCGATATTCAGAGCTCTGAGCAGTCCCTCCCTCTTCTCTTGGAGAATCGCTTTCACGAAGAGGGTTCCGGCATTTCTCTGTGCTCTGATATGAGTCCTTTGCACACGCTCCGTTGTGCCCTCGGTGCACAGCTGGCACCGTGGGAGAGAGAGCCGCAAAATGCTTGGACGGTTGGCCCCACACTTGCAATAACACTGGCCAGGATTTGGGGCCCAAGAATTATCCCGTGGAGGCGAGACCGAATGGCCGGCCCTTTTCTGACTGTCATCACTTCCAGCCAAGGGGTGGCCAAAAAAAGAGGGGGTGACAGCGGCCGCTCGTGGGTCCTCACACAACCTCCCTTCTGTCCTCCCCAGTATCTTCTCTCTTACATCAAGCCTTTCAGCAGCGACCTATTCCAGCAGCTCCTCAGGCACCTTCTGCAATGCGCCAACGACGCCCGGGATGCGATCAGGCACGACATCTGGCGACGGATGTTCCTCCAGCTCTTCCTGGACTGCGACCACGGAAAGGTAGCTCTTCAGGTTCCGTTTGGAAGGGGCGGGCGCACGATCCTGACTCTTTACCTTGTCCTTCATATAATTGCTGGAAGCAAACAAACGAAAAGGGCATCCGTAGAAGCCCTCGGGACCAGTGGGGAGAGGGTGAGAAGGTAAAGTCCGTAGATCAGTTGACAGGTAGATCAACCGATCTACTTCAGAAGTAGTTCGCTGTTGTCCTTCTTCCTTAGAGGGAGGGAAACACGCTGGGGCACCGGCAGAATGCTGACCCTCAGGCACAGAAGCCGTGGGGAGCGGGTGACTCCCATTCCAAGGGTGCTGTGAATCCGCTTCAGGATTTGGATCTGCACTTCACAGAAGTCACTCACGAGGGTTAAACCTAGTCTGAGGAGGGGGGTCAGCACCTTCAGCAGCTCTGGACTAAAACCCAGGTGTAGCCCCCCCCCGCCCCCTGTGGAACTGGGACTTATTTCTGCCTCCCTCCCTCCTAGGTGGGTCTCTTGGATCGGCCCAGAGTTCTGTCCTTACTGGAGAGCTACTACGACCACTCCTTAGAGAGAGCGAGGAAGGGGTGCCGGGACCCCAGGAAATGTAAGTGTGGGCCAGGTGTTGGGGGGCCTTAAGAAGGGCTGTGGGACTTCTCCGTCTTCAGGGCAGAGAAGGATCATGGGCTGTGATGCCTCGAATGGGTGGCAGAACCTCTTTTCTCTGGCCCAGACGTTGGGAAGTGTGTTTTCTGGACGACAAGGCCCAAGAAGCTTGGCCTGTATGGTGACTGGGTGGTGGTGGAACATGACCCCAGTCTCTTCCAGACAGCCCCTTTGCTAACCAGTTTGCTTCGGGCAGGGGGGCGGGAGGAGCAACTTTCGACCGGACGGGTCCTGCCTGGGTGGGCTTCCGGCTGC